GGAGAGAGGGACCCTGCTCCCAGGCTGGAGGAACCTGTCCTTGGAGGGATGCACCCCGTGGAAGAGTTACCCACACCCCAGCAGTGTGAGGGGGATGGGTGTCCATGGGATGGGTTCATGCTGGAGAAGTCCATGGAGAGCTCTCTGCCATGGGAGGGACCCCAGGGTGCAGCAGGGAATCACTCCTCTCCCTGAGCAGAGGGAGAAGCCACGGGAGATGAACAGATCATAACCCCATTCCCTGTCTCCCTGCACTGCTGGAGTAGGAGGTGGAGCTGAAAGGAGGGAGGGTGGGTGGAAGGTGTTTTTAAGGGTTTACTTTACTTCTCATTATCCCACTCTGATTTTGTTAGCAAAATCAGCTAACAAAATCAGCTAGCAAGGGCAAAACAGGCTCAACTTCATATCTCTAAGTTGAGCCTGTTTTGCCCTTGATGGTATTTGATGAGTGATCTCTCCCAGTCCTTACCTCAACTCATGAACCCTTCATTATATTTTCTCTCCTCTGTCCAGCTGCAGAGCAGACTGAGTGAGCTGCTTTGGTGGAGGCCTGGCAGCTGGCCAGTGTCAGCCCATGACATCTACTCATATGGATCCTCCTCATACCCAAAAAAATGTGTGAATCCTGCCCCTTGTGCCCAAACTTGCCTCACAGGGTTGACAGCTATGTGCTAAGGATAGAAGATCCAGGGCTTGGATTGTCAATCTCCTGTTGGAAGGGAGATGTCCTATGGACCACTAAAACCCTGCAATTGTTCAGCTAGAAAAGAAAGTCTTAGATGGAAGTGAAGTACCACTGTATCAGATGAAGATCATTCTCAACAGAAACTATTGCAGGACCTGTAAAAAACATTCACTGTGGATGCTGCATCTGTAAGTAAGACAAATTTAATTCCAGTTTCACTAAAGATACAGTGGACTAAACCCCTTTTCACAGTATCCTGTGATTCTGATATCCAGACAGTATTCTGATATCCAGACAGAATCAAATTTGATTAGTTACTAGACAAGATTTACCATCCACCAGTGCTTAAGAAACCCCCAACTCTCACTTCACTTGCACTTGCAGTCAGCCACCAGTCTTCTGCAGGATGCCTTTGAAAGCATCCACCTCACAGATTACTGCAAAGTAATGTAGTGGGAAGTAAATAGAACATATGGATAGGTGGGCTTACTTTATAAATGGCTTGAAACTTCTTCCAAAGACACAAGAGAAATGGATTTTACCAGGTTTGACTGATCTTATATCCAACCCTCAGGCTTTTTGTCTCTACAGAATATTTCATCTTGGGGCTGCAGTATTTTTTGAGGACTGAAAAAGTGGCTTTAGGGGAAGATTTCTTTGTAATTATTTATGCACCAGTAGTACTAGGCAGCCCATATACCAAAATTAGGATCTTTTTTCCAAGCGCATTATTTAATCTGCAAAAACTCACTAGAATTAAATATCCACACATTAGAGAAACTGGGACTTAGTCACAAAGGCAAAAGAAAATTGTTTCAATATTCTGTCCCTGAAGCTAAAGAAAAGATACATCTATTTTTCTTGGATCCTCTTCCATGATTCTCTTCTCTCAACATCAATTTTTTATAATAAAAAATGGTCAAAGTGCCAGATTTTTTAATGCCTTCACATAAATAATTTACAGATTGCATAAAACAAGAGATAAATAAAAGGACCTTTTTCATCACCCTTGTGAGTACACTGAGCACAGTCCTGGTGAGATGCCATTGAACCCAGTGAACTGTGCCTCCAGAATCTGATTTGGGGCACTTACATCCATAAACACAGTTGCATGTAACTATAGATGTTTTACTGATACAATATGTAAAGCAGTACAGTGGGGAAGTACTGGTTTGGGGTTTTTTTAACTGCTTGCTTTTACTACTAGCTTACACCACCACAGAAAAGATAAAACTGCCAGTTTAATTCTATAATTCAAATTAATGCATAAATCCAAGCCTCCAGAGTTTTAAGACAAATAACACTATTTGCCTCAGAAATGCAGAAGCAATATAATCTTTTAACTGAAAGTGATTAAACCAGAGTAACCAATGGAGATACATTCAAACTCCCCAAAATTTTCAAGAACAGTAATTATTATTTTACCTCTATCTTTACCTCTAAGCTAAATGTGTTTGGATTTTTCTATGCAGATAACCAGAAAAATCATTAAAGTGTGGTTTTGTTCACTAGCCAGTGAATAAAGATCTCTTCCCAGATGTGTTGTGGTCTTGCTGCCTCATTAGACTAAACCCGTTGCTGTGGGCACTGCATGACACCTATTTCTGTTTTTTCTAACAGAACATGTTGCCGCAACATCATTGAGCAATCTCTCGTAGAGTAACAAAATCTGTTTTTTGGCATTAGGAAAAAAAAATAAAATTCAATGCTCTGGGTAGGGAGTTAACAAAGGAAACTCTCCCCCAGCTTTCATGCCCAGTGCTTGGTGCACAGGGGCAGAACTGTCCCTCTGATTCACTCTCACACCAGCACCACAAGGAGACCAGGCACAGAGATGGCACTGAAATCCATCATTTTGCTTTGTGTCATGGGTCTCCTGTGGAAGGGTCAGGCACAGGAGTGGAGGGGAGCTTTTCTCTCTGTGTTTGCTTTGGTGCAGCCATTGCTCTGGCTCCACTCTAGGGATGATCACCAGGGAGGTGTTCACACCACACACTGACCCTGTCAGTGAGTTTGGCTCACTCCCACAGAGTCCCTTGTGACCACAGGACAGGGCATGATTTTAGCATGATCTGTGATTATGTGTGCTCATTCTTCATTGTAAGACCTCAGTCCTTCCCTAAATTTGTGCCAGACTCTAACATCTGGGGGATGGAATGTCCCATGCCAGAAGCACTAGGCTGCAGAGCTGCCTGGGACAGCTTTCACTGGCCTGTGTGCACACTACAGTCAGAACCTTTAATAAGGCTTAGATGAAAAATAACCTCACTAGCACAAGATGGTTCAGACCAGCTGTAAACTGTTTGCTAGCTGAGACAGAGAATCTTCACAGCCTCCTTTTTTCCTAGTGCTTTGTTGCTAATTTCATGTTCTATTAAGAATTTCTTGTAGTCCTTAGACTTAACTCAGGGTTCTCACTGATCCCCACTCCCCACTCGTTGTCAGTCTCAAGGGAGTGTAAAAATTTTAATTTAAAATAAAGACAAAGCTCAGAAAAAGTATTCTTTGCCTCTGACTGGTCCCTCACCACTCTGAAGATGCTTCAGTGGCCCCCAGTGGTACCCTCTATCTGGAATCAAGGATTTGAAATCTGGCAAAAGAACCACACTCCTCTGTCAGGGGTAGGTGTTCTTTCTTTCACCTACACAATCAGGTATAAAGACTGGGATGTGGCCCCAACTCTCTCCATCCCCTGGAATTTACACTGTGAATTTTCCTAACTATAAAAGCAGGAGGGAAATGAGGCTTTACCTTCCCCCAGTTCTCTGAAATGAGTATTTTTTAAGTGAGTAAAGAAAACAAAAGCCAAGGCCCTGACTCATCTCATCTTCAGTGTGCTTTTGGATCAATCTGTTTTCTCCTTTTTATCATTTCCAGACTGGTAGGAACAATGCAGTCCAATATCAGTGACTGATAATGCAGTGTGGGGGAAAACTGTTCATTTTTGATTGAACAGACATGTTAATCTCATTGTGATGTAAATGAAAACTGCCCCTGATACATTCCATCTCTTGACATTTCCATTTCAACCTGTCCTTCAGGGATGCTCACCTCCAAGAAATGCATTAAAGGAAATCAGAGCACATAAGGATGAAGCAGGACAGTAAGCAATGTTGATATTGCATGTTCAAAGCAAAAAGTACAATAATGTCATTTTAATTGAGCTGCAGAGAGTATAGCTCCTTTCTAATTTCCTGTACAAAGTAATGCAAATATATGGAAACTTAAAATTCAAAAATCATTTCAGTTAGCTCTGGTATTATCTGATAGAGCAAACAAGAATTAGATGGATGTCATTGTAAGTAATATTCAACTTGAAATCTGTTTTCTAACCAGAATAATTATCTTTATTTTATTTGAATAAACAAGAGCCAGGCAGAGAGTTTCAGAGTATGTAGAATAGTTTCAATCAACATTAGAAGAATATTATTAAAAACAGCTCCTCATATCCCTTTACAGCAAGTAACATAAAAGAGACCATGGAGACAGAGTGTAATTTTCTCTTACAATAAGATCTCATTTCCAAAAATGGAATATGCATCAGTGTTCTTTTATGTACAGTCCATATAATGCAAGCATCAAGGATTAATCACTCTGTGTAAGAGGTGCAGTGATCACACATTACTTTAGCCCAGCATCCATGTTCCGGTGTCCCCTTTTGATTTGAGCTTTTGAAGATATGATCCTTCAAGCTGTATTCATGAACATGTTCCATCAAGGCTGGATGACTCTTTATTTGAATAAAGGTTCAGGTTTTCTGTCAGCTACCTCACATCTTGTATATTCATTGTGTAAAGGTGATGCATAAGTATCAGAACAGCAGTGCATTTTAGATTCCAGGGGAAAAGAAATACTTTGTCTCTACAACAAAGGAAGAATTTAGCTGAACTCACCAGAAAGACCATTGCTTTTAATATTTTAATTTCCTTTATTACACATGATACATGATTCCTCTTCTATAACTAGGAACTGCCAGCAGAGTATAAGATGTTATATCACTCACTTATTCTGCACTTTGTGAATTAATTTTAAAACTCTTTTGTACACGTTGACATTTTTCAAAAAGAAACCAAATTAATTGCAAATAATGATGTAATTATTTTAAGTTTTTTCTATTTTTGCTCAAACTTCAAATTACACTACTCCCCTTTCCCAGGTCAAAAACATTCCTGTACATACACATATTCATTGCTAGTTGCTTTGTTCTGTTTTATTTCAGCACTACTTTCCTATGTTAAACAAAATGGACAAGGAGAAAGCATTGATATAAATGTACAAAGAAGATGCTTCTTAGGGGGTATTGAAGAGTTGGGAAGTTCATAGTCTTCATACAAATATATAAAATATTTGAAATTTTCTCCATTCGTTGGAATCCATTCCGTTTCACTTGTCAGACCTGTGCAACAAATACAAGACCAGAAATTAATCACTATCAGTGCACTCACAGGTATTTTCAGATCATGCAGAAAAGTTGTGAGGGGGACAACACTCCCCACACCTGCAATTTTTCCTTCTCTGACAGCACTTGTTTACAGCCAGGCTTAGGGAATACAAATCTTTGTGATCCAGTAGCTCTTCCCACCTGCTCTCCATCAGATCTCTGTCTGATGAAACTTCATGATTCTCTCAAGACTTGAGGCCTCTAAAGCCTTGAATTTTGCCCTTGGTAGAGGATGCTGGGTCTGTGCCCCATCCCATCCCACCCCACCCCACCCCACCCCACCCCACCCCATCCCATCCCATCCCATCCCACCCCACCCCATCCCATCCCATCCCATCCCATCCCACCCCACCCCATCCCATCCCATCCCGCAGAGCCTGGGGCAGGCAGGTCCAGCCCTGCACAGACCCTGAGTGGGGCTCAGCCCCAGGAAAGCTCTGCCACTGCTCCAGCAGGCACAGGAGGCAAATCCTGCCCTGTGGCTCCGCAGTGTGGCTGTGCTGCAGGGAGCAGGGATGCATCAATTCATAAAAATCAAAATGGTATTTAATTTTACCATTAAATACTACTTAATGATATAGACATATATATGTCTGTGCATTTTTAATTTTTTTAGCTGCTTTGGTTATCCCCTTCTCTTGCCTCTTCTGTTCTACCCATTAGAGTCTTTACTCGTGAGATTCCACCCAAACTGAATGGCCCTCGGGAATTTTCAGCCTCTCTTCTTTTGATAGTGTTTATATTCCTGTAACTTCTTTTGTCACAGCTCTGCTTCTCCCCTATTTCTGCTTTAATTCTCATGACTGACCAGTCCTAAGGACCGTATTCGAGAAATAGTAGCAAAATATCTTCTGTGTTCTTTTCATAAATCCTACTTATTTATTTATTTATCTAAAGCAAGGTTCAGGGGGCACTTAGGTTCTGTCTGGGGAGTGATGAGCAATTTCCTTTGACCCACCTACAGACTTTTTTCTGCACAGTCACAGCTAATTTGGAGCCCAGCACAGGGCCAATTTCTGCTCTCTTTGAAGTTAAGAAATACCATGGTTGTTATTGATATCAGTGGTTCTAGACAGCTCAATATTGAAAACCTGAAAACAGGTTTTTCAATTAACTGTCAAAAGGTCAAGGCACTAACTGTCTCAGCATACATGTTTAATCAGCTAAGATATAGGTATTTGAAGTAGAGGAATATGTCTACCTTTGGTAAATTTTATTGAACTCATGAATCTTCAATAAACACTTAGAAAACCGAGAAAAAGTCACAGGACAGAATAAAAAATGACAACCTTCTATATCTCACAATGAGTTACATGAAGGGAGTTTTTTGCTGTGCTCCTGAACACATGCAGGCTGTGCACATTTGAGCAAACAGTGGAGGGACATTCAAAAGGCTGGGACTGCTTTGCTTTCAGAAGAAACTCTTCCCTGGAGAAGAGAGGTGTTATTAAGAGAAACCCTGCATGGCTTACACTGACTGCTTGAAAGTGATGGCAACCTTTAAATAAAGAAATGAAATGTTAATTAACCTGTCTAGAAAGAGACTGAGAGGGAGTCATTGCCCAAGTGAAGCCGCCATAGCACCACAAGTAGTGCTACCAACACTCTGTGGCCATTAGCAATCAAACAATGTGGCCATCTCATAGCTGGGCTCAGTAAGGCAATGCACTGTTCTGTTTCAGCTGAAATTTCCTTCCAGTCAGGTAATTTAAGGTATTTCTCTTTCTGCTCTCAAAAACAAAACCCAACTTTAGGACTGTATTTGATGGCTCCCTGGGATACACACGCACAAGTAATCCTGTCCTATATAATTACCTCCTGCCTACACACACTCTCCATGTGCTTCAGCATTCAGGATTATCCTCCTTTCTCTTTCAAACTCTTCTGTGCCTGTTCCTGAGTATCACAGGGTGGCTGTTTTCAAGTGGTATGTGAATAAAACATTTCTGGCTATGCCTGAACTCAAGGGCTCAAGCCTGAGATCAGGAGAAAGAGTGTGCAGGGCACAGCAGGCAAATCTGAGCACAGTGTGGTCCTCAGCATCACAAGCATTTTCTGATCCTTCTGCTGAAAGAGGCCAGTGACAGGTTCTGCCTCCAAACACATCGTGGGCAGACTGTGGCATGATGGACAGCTGTAATTTAGCATTCTGGATTTTAGGATTGCATTATATTTTTTGTATCCTTCCAGCAGATTCAGCATTTTAGATTTAAGGCTGTGTTTTCTGCAGGTGTCATCCTGTCCTGGAGGACACATCTGCCTTGCATGGGAGCTACACGCTTATCTTCTTTAAGTAGTTTTATCTGTCCTTACTTCCTGAGTTCCTCATGACAGCCACCCTTTGCTGGGCACATCCAGCACCCAGGGATCATGGTAATACAAAGAAGGTGGGTACAAAGCTTTTGGGTACAAAAGGATGGAGACAGACTTTCCCCACTGTGCTGAGTGACAGGAAAGGAGACAAAAGGCACAAATTGAAATAAAGGGAATTTCATCTAGATAGGAAATAAAACTTTTACCATCAGGGTGGTCAAACACTAGTCCAGGTTGCCCAGGAAGGTTGTGGAATCTCCATTCTTAGAGATACTCAAACCCTGACTGGACATGGCCCTGAGCAATAACCTGAGTAGGACATTAGACTGGATGTTTTCCTGAGGTGGTCTTGGGGGTCAGGCAGTCTGTAAGTGTGGCAGAGGCTTTGCTTGTCCCAGGGGAAGCTGTTCTCTACTCATGAGGGCCAAGGTGGATTCATGGGCCATGTACAAGGTCCCTCTTGCCCCTGCCTGGCCATGGAGCCATCAGTGAGTTTACAAACTAAAACAGCAAGGTGCTATAAACTGTATTACTGTGTTGTTAATAAGAAAAGTAATCTGGTTGATGGGATTACTTTTGGTCACATGCTCCATCTTTTTAAATACTTTTCTGTCCTTTCTTTGTTTTCTCATAGCTCCCACACCTTTGACCTTCAGCTCCCATTAAAATCAATATCCCTTAACACCTTCATGATCTGAGGATTGAAAGGTCCAAAGTGGCACTGTGTCCCATCCAGCCAAGCAAGCACCTCTCTGTTCCCCTCCTTCCATGACTCAGGTCTCTCACTAGGCAATGGACCACCAAAAGACCTGCTGTGCTCAGTTCTTCCAGTCCCAACTGGGACACAGCAGCTCCAACCAAAGGAAACCCAGCCTTCTAGGAGACCATGTGCCTACAGGAGTAGCTAGCTAGCAGGAAAAGCAAAAACCCCAAAAACTAGAGTTCCCAGGAATGATGCCACTTGCCACTCAAAATAAGCAAAAACCAAATGGCCATGATGATAAATATTACCATGGGGTTCAGGTGCTGAGGAAAATCAAGCCCACTTTTCTAAAATCTTGTCTAAAGCATGCTGCTTGCAAGTGGTGCTATTTTGACACCTGGTAACTGTATCATCTTTCTCTCAGGTACACTCTCTGCTCTCTGGTTGCTTATAATTACTACCTGAGTTCCCTTTGCAGTCAGTGGACTCTCTATTATCTCCCTGTGATGCTCTAATCCACTCAGACCTCCCACTGGCCAGCTGCAATTCTCCCTGTCCCAGCTCCCAAAGGCACGTTATTTTTAGAGCACAAACTCCTCCAGAGAGCCATGGGAGCATGTAAACTCAAAAATAGGTTGCTTATGGTACATTAGCAATGCTCACAGTTATGTTCTCTGGTGATTCTTTCAGCTGCTGCAGGTTATCACCAGACTCCCTCACTGCTCCAATCAACCTCGCCTGAAACAACCCTCAGGCATTTAAAAACAGAATATACTTGAGAACAAATGCTTAAATGTTGTCCTGATTAAGGGTGGACATAAGTACATGCTCAGGAACACTTTGAATCATGAAATTAGGGGAGTTTTCAGCCCTCAAGACCTTCTCCATTCCCTGACTGAGAATCTGCAAGGCTATGATTGCAGTTGGTTGGATGCCAGCGCTGTTTTCTGGAATAAAAAAGACTGGATCCCTGAGGTTTCTGACCACAGAAAAAAGGAGTAGCTATTTTTATATAAGAAATTATTTAATGTATGTGCTGTTCAACACAGATGCAGCTTCAAAAATAAATGCAAATAAAGAAATGAATTGCAAAAATCTCACTATTTTTTTTCCTTTTTCAAAATTACGGTTTTTAATGCTGCATCTCCCTTTTATTCTCTGAACACACTCAACTAGTTAACAGCAAGGACGCAAAATATTTATTCTTAAAAACACACTAGTAGTTCCAGTTGTCAGTGTTTTCTGTTCTTAGAGAGCATGCTAGCTGAAAGAACAAGAAATATGAAATCCCTCCAGATTTTAGCTGTATCTCCATATATGCAATAAAATGACCACATTTGGTGCTAATATTATATAATTAAAGACCATGCATGAATCACTTGAGCACTGAATAATTTTTTTTTTTTCAATAGTTCCCAGCCCTATATATTTAACCCCAAAATTCTGTTAAGGCATCCTATTTTATAAGAAGTAGCTTTACACAGGATGAAAGAGACATTAGCACTTCGAAGAAGATCAGTGATTACAGCAAGTGCACCAAGGTTCAGTAAATGCCTCCCACTCAACAAGCTTCCAAAGTGAACGACCACATGATGTTTACTCCTCACCAGAACCCATTTATAGATCTCTTACTCACCACTACCTCAGCCATAAATGCAACCCTCAAAAAGAGGCAGCAAGGAGAGCTCTATTTGGGAGCAGACAGGGAGTCCACAGTTGGAGAACTGGCCCTTGTCTTCACAATGCTGTTTAGCCAGGCTGTGGATCATGATTTAAGTCATCCACACTCTAAAGATCCCAAACTCCTGAAAGTGTTTATTACATAACAGGTGAATTGCACATGGACAACAGATATGGCTTGGGGAAAATACTGCCCCATTTGGAAAAATTGATAAAAAGGGTTAAAAAATGCCCCTCCAAAAGTGCAAGTGGGAAATGC